TGTACAGCATCAATACTTAGTTGTTGCTCCTTTTGTCTGGATTACTGCAGCAATGCAGCGTGGCATGGAGTGGATCAGTCTGTGTCTCTGCTCAGGTGTTATGAGCCCAGGTTGCTCTGATAGTGGCCTTCAGCTCTTCTGAATTGTTGGTTCTGGTGTATCACATCTTCCTCTTCACAATACTCCATAGATTTTCTATGGGATTAAGGTCAGGTGAGTTTGATGGTCAATTAAGAACAGGGATACCATGGTCCCTAAACCAGGTACTGGTAACTTTGGCACAGTGTGCAGGCGCCAAGTCCTGTTGGAAAATTAAATCTGCATCTCCATAAAGTTGGTCAGCAGCAGGAAGCATGAAGTCTCTAAAACTTCCTGGTAGATGGTTGTGTTGACCTTGGACCTCAGAAAACACAGTGGACCAACACCAGTTGATGACATGGCACCCCAAACCATCACTGACTGTGGAAACTTGACACTGGACTTCAAGCAACATGGATTCTGTGCCTCTCCTCTCTTCCTCCAGACTCTGGGACCTTGATTTCTAAAGGAAATGCACAATTTACTTTCATCAGAGAACATAACTTTGGACCACTCAGCAGCAGTCCAATCCTTTTTGTCTTTAGGACAGGTGAGATGCTTCTGACATTGTCTGTCGTTCAAGAGTGTCTTGCCACAAGGAATGCAACAGCTGAAACCCATGTCTTGCATATGTCTGTGCATGGTGGTTCGTGTAGCCCTGACTCCAGCTGCAGTCCACACTTTGTGAATCTTCCCACATTTTGGAATGGGTTTTGTTTCACAATCCTCTCCAGGGTGCGGTTATCCCTATTGCTTGTACACTTTTTTCTACCACAGCTTTTCCTTTCCTTCACCTCTCTATTAATGTGCTTGGACACAGAGCTTTGTGAACAGTTGCCTCCTTGTGTAAGGTGTCAATGGTCGTCTTTTGGACAACTGTCAAGTCAGCAGTCTTCCCCATATTTGTGTAGCCTACAGAACTAGACTGCGACCATTTAAAGGTCTTTCCAGGCGTTTTGAGTTAATTAGCTGATTAGAGTGTGGCACCAGGTGTCTTCAATATTGAACCTTTTCACAATATTCTAATTTTCTGAGATACTGAATTTGGGGTTTTCATTAGTTGTCAGTTATAATCATTAACATTAAAATAAATAAACATTTTAAATATATCAGTCTGAGTGTAATGAATGAATATAATATACAAGTTAGATTTTTTTGAACGGAATTACTGAAATAAATCAACTTTTCCACGATATTCTAATTTTATCACCAGCACCTGTATACAACCTTTGCTGGTAGAAAAACTTGACATGTTTTTAATATAAATGACCCGTTAAGACCGACACCTGTAGTTACTTTGTTAAAAATTAGAAACAACAAAGAGCAGTGCTGGGTGAGATATATGGTCTCCAGTAAAGAGAGATTGTGTGTGTGTGTGTGTTTGTGTACAAACGCTGACTCCAACAGTGTGAGTGTGTATGTGATGCAGTAGCACATTCTTCAGGCTGTCTGCTTGGCGATCTGTACGCCGTCTGTTCATCTGTTTGAGTGTGCACTGTGTAGTCGTTTTATCCTTTCAAAGATGCAACATCCTCAGTGGAAAATAAAAAAAATTGAGATATACAGTTTGTGGTGAAACAAGGACGCACATCAACTTCATTTTTAATATACAGTATGTATGCAAACTCCATTAAACTTTAGCTGACTGCATGAGAAAAAAAACATTATTTAATGTGCAACATGTAAAGAAGTGTGCAAACTAGTAATATTTTTGTTTTTTTTTCCATCTTCAGAAGACAGAGGACCACCTGACCTTCCTGATCGCAGTGCCCGCAGCTCTCTTCCTCTTCCTGTCCATCTTCATCCTCGTCTGCATCGAATCTGTCTTCAAGCGGATGTTGCGCCTCTTCTCTCTGCTGATATGGGCCTGTCTGGTCACCATGGGTTACCTGTTCATGTTCTCGGGGGGCAGACTCAGTCCATGGGACCAGGTACAGTCAAAACGTTTGAGTCAAACCTGTTTCCAGGCATATGAGGTTGTTACTAAACGCAGACTTTTAGTATACTGAGAGCAAACGTCATTGCTTACTTATGTTTGTCCAAATTTTTAACCTTTCGAATTGAAATTTTCTGGTTTTAAACATCTTGTCAACATGCAAAGAATGTTTTTTGGTGAAAAAAACAAACATATGTTTTTAGATTTTAAAACCTCAGTGTTGATTTCAGATATACAATACAACATACAATGCATACAAAGCAGCCAATATCACAGCCACCCGCCATCATTTTGTGCCCTAGAAACCAAAACAACAACAAAGCCGTTTTTAATGGATTTGTTTCTACATCTGTCTCACTCCATCCTGATCTTATCACCCTAATCATTTATCAAATACTAAAAAGGTGTAGATAGAATCAAAGGAAAAATCCCAGCTACAAGTTTTGGGTTTTGAGTTAGCATATTCTTTTCCCCTGCATTGATTTCACCGCGTGCTTGAGTGTACTTTTATAGTTTAAAAATGTTAAAAGTTGACTGTGAGTTTGCCCGGTTGCCTGTCTCTCTCTTTGTGTTAGCTTTGTTATAAACTCATAACCCATAAAAACTTTTCTCCACTTGATTACCAAAAACTAGCTGGGATAGAGTTTGACTTGCAGCAGAACAGACGGACAAATGGATTTCAAGTCAAAAGAACAAATGTATTAATGATGGATGAATCCTGCTTTGTGCAGGTCCTGTTATTGACCCTTTTCACAGCAGACAGGTAGGTAGGTGGGAGCATGGAGATGGATAGAACAGGGGTAGAGCAGAGATAGATAGATAGATAGATAGATAGATAGATAGATAGATAGA